GCCGTGCGTAGTCAGGTGCATGGGAGAACTGCATAAGAGACGAATATTGCTGTGAACGCACTACAACCATCTACACACACACACACGAGTATTCGTAAGCTAGAAAAGTCATCAAGCGGTGGGTTTCACGAATACCTCCACCTTTTTTCCAGCATAGAAGATTTGAATGACCCAATGAATTGAGGGATCGTTTTGCACTCTTACCTGTGTTGAAATGCGGTTGCACAGTTTCATTTCTGATGGAAAACTTGTAGCATTGCAGCGGAATAAAGCGGATTCACCAACATTTTAGCTCCAATGCCAAAGCAAAACGTGTTGACAGGCCCCTTCATTTTAAGGGGTCCTAGGAAGAGAGCTTATTTACATCAGAGAGATACTCTGAATAGATAAGTGAATTTTTTGGGTGATCGTGATCAAAGTTTGTTTAAAAGTGAACTGTTAAGCTTCCTCACTCCTACTTGCAATAACATTCTTTATTAAACGATTAGATTAATCAAAATTGAATATATTAAAGAATGATCTATCAGAAATGACAGCTTGGAGTCCGTCACTTCAGGATGGAAAAAACTCATGTGTATTTACACATTTTTTTTGCTAAGGAAAGTAAGGCAATCTTTTCTTCACAAGTTTCCTGTCTACATACCACCGCCACCGCCAACAACCCTACCACCTTCCCTTTGGGTGCATTCAGGCATTTGGCATTTTTACCCTTTTTTATTGCATCTAGAATATTTTCCAGATGTACGACCTTTTCCTACACGGCATCTTGTATTACTGGAGCTGAGGTAAAAAATATCACAATTAACTTCATACAGTTTTGCCCAGGTGCTGTTGTGGACTGGTAGACTGGGGAGGGGCGGTTTATCATCCACCCTTCCCTCAATGTGCCTACCATTGGTCACCGCTGCTGCGCTACTATGTCTTGTCTTGCCTTCTAATGTGTCGAAGTTTATTTTAAAAAAGGGGAATTGGATGTGACAATGAGTTTTCAGTGGTACATTACCTCTCTTAGTAGTAGACAAAATTTTCATTTCACTCTTTAAAGTTTTATTACATTATTACTAAGAATATTATAGGGTTTTAAGGGCCGAGAATTTTCCTCAAAGTTAATTTTCTGCACAAAACCTTGAGGACTAGTTATTGGGGTCGATTTTAAGTCATCTATTCAAGTTACCAGTAAATAAAAAACAGTTAATATCAGGGGATTTGAAACCGCAGTTTTTGGCTCACTTTTGTAGATTTTCGTCTTCCATTAAATCCCAAGTATATATGCAAATGGGTAGAAGCTCACGAGAAGTTTGGAAAATTATCAAAAGTAATAAATGGGATTTTGTGTTCGTAGAATTGTCTGGCGACTTTTTAGGTTTAGCTAGTTTTTTGATGGCATTATTTGACTAGAAGTTTATGCACCATCTGGGACCCACCTGATCTCACAAAATGAATGTCAGACCTGAAGAGGCCCTTGCTTTAAGTGTAAAAAAGGTTGAAATGGTTTGCAGAAATGGCACAAATGGAATGCATTGCATCCAAGATGGCAACCGGAGCTGGGAGGCTGAAGGATTAGTGCAGGTAAACAAATACTGCCTAATCTACCTTAATCAGTCTTTTTCGTTCTAGTCCTTGCAAATTCTTCATCATCCTTATTAGTAACACTGATTTATTCAAGTGAAGAGCGAAGGATGGGCAGCTTATCTGCCTTCTCTGTTGCCCTCGAATAGCTAAACTGGTGCCTTTCTTGCCTCTCAAATGAATAAATTTGAACTTTCGCGTTGTGGCGACGTGGATTTTGTGTTCTCTGAGAGACAAACGGTCTGAAGTCAAGTCTCTAGCCTTGTCTGGAAGGCAGTTAGGTTAATGTAATTTGTGCGGCTCGCGATTAAATAGCCTAATCGGCCAAACTTTAATGGCTTATTCAAAGAATTGCCGTAAGAGTTGTAAAACGTCTGGATAACCCACTTGCCTTAATGGGCAAATGCTAGAAATCATACAAATACGGGCAAAATTTTCTGCTGAATGGAAATAATAATCCGTGCGTAGTCTCATTCCCTTTTGTTTCCATTACGTCGTCTTTCTTCTCAGCCCATAAAGATAAAAGAATACAAATGCTAGCATACTTATTTAGGATCATTCACCCGTCAAGTGCAGATAATTCCGATCCATCATCATAGACCCAGGTGTTATCTGCAATATTTTTACTGTTTTTCCCTTTCATCTCCGATTCCGCAGAAGAGACATCAAGTGTTGTGGTAATTTGAGATTTTGCAAACGATTGGGGCGTTATAGAGATCGAGTATCGGTGGCGCCTGCACGGTCACGAGGTCGGCTCAATCTGCCCAATTGCCTCTCAGAAGGTGCTAACAGCCATTAATAGAAGTAGATAGTGTAAATGGTTTATTCAAAAATATTTGTGCATTATGCTTTAATAAATTAGACAATAGAAGAATGGATAAGTCCCCATTCTGAACATGCATAGGTCGCAGATGTGCTACAGCTCTCTCAGAAGGCCTAATGGACCAGGCACCTGCATCACCGACTGAATAGGAACATCTTAGTAGCGCTCAATAACTAAGAAGGCCACAACAAAGCAGTAAAATAAATTTATAATTAAATTTACCCAACTTTTCTGGTTTAGAAAAGGCAAAAACGAATTTTTGTTTGTTAAAGAGCATTATAAAAACCACAAGGTTTTGGAACTGATTTTACCTCTTTATGGATATTTGAGAGGAAAGTGATGGAAGCGCTGAAAGTCTTTCCCGAAGTCGTAGCTAGTCACAGTGGAAGACAAAAAGTGTTTGCCGAAGCTCAGAAGGCTTGGGAGAGGGACTATTGCCGCCCAGCGGAGGTAACAAGTGCCCACTTAACCGAAACGTCGATTTTAAACAAATAATTAAAGTATCGCGCTAAACCACATTGTTAACCAACCCAAAAAGAAAAAAGTTATCAATTAAAAGCAGTGTCTGTGTATTCTGCGTCGGAAAAATCCAGAATCAGTTTTCATTTGCCCTCACCTCATTCACTGAAGTAGTTGCCCGCCTAGTGGCAGTCCCTCCGAAGTTACCTTCCGGTATAGCAGAATATTTATCTGTGTAATTTACTACCAGCAATAACGCCTATTTGTATTTTTCCTTGATAAATGAGTTCGCGGCTCGAATCATAAAATGTCAATTTACTACGCACAATGAGGGTATCGCCTTGGCATTTTACGGTGTCGGCAATAATTGCTCCAGCCTTGGTTGATCAGCTTTTGGTCGGGTAGTAACCTCGCCTACTGTGAAGTGATAAGGCGTGAAGATGCCATTATGCCATTCCTTGGTTCATCCGCCAAACAAAGGGGTGCCTAAAGGCTAGGGGACAGACTTTTAATCTTCCTAATTTAGTTCAGTAAAATATGCTTATCTGGCTTTCTAATTTTGTTGTAATAGGTTATGTCGCAAGGAGAGAAGATTTTTTATTCACACGTAGAAGGGCTGAGGGGCTCCGGAGTTTTTGACCGTAATGAATAAAGAGGCAATATGGTTAAAAGTCCACCTTTTTATTCAAAAACGAAAAAAATTGCTCCTTTTCTTTTCCCAGCTTAGTATGAAAAATATTTTCTGTTGAAATATTTTACATCTGCGGAGATTGTAGGATTCCCATGGATGATAAAGTGGAGCACACAGTGAGATTTTCTTGTTATGCCTCTAGGCGCCACACAATGTCAGACGCTCTCGGTAAATTATCATTAATGTAATCAATTCTTCAAAGAAGTTTGTTTTAATGCATGCATTCTAGTGGAGGAGTACTCAAAAGCCTTGAGTAACAAAAATAAATCCAGCTTATGCAAAATAGCACGGAATCTAGCGGTTGAAAAGAGAAAGTAATGAACATGCCACGTTCTCTTGCATCCTGCAGGAGGAACTGTGACAATCCCGATTGTGTGGAGTCAAGTCCTGACCATTAAAAGATTTTTTGATTAAATAATAGGTTGCCTATTATTTGTCCTCTCTTTTAAAGGACGAGTGTGTTTTTAAGGTCCTTATTAAACAAGAACTTACAGTAGCGTCCCGAGATTTTCCTGAAGACGAAGGAAAACACAATACTATGACGGGATATGTACTAGCGACATACAGAGGAGCTGGGGGGTTACTGACATGGACGGGAGGCCTGGCCGCCCATCGAAGGTACAACGGCGGAGACCTAAGTGGTCCTCCATGAAAAACGAGAGTTAAGCAACCAACCACCGTCTTCGGTACTCTCCGTGTTTACCCCTCTGCATCGACCATCACAAAGTAGTAGATGCTGTAAAAAATGCACCCATGTCCCAATTGCTTGCAACTGAAAAGACCTTTCATCCCGACGTCAACGATCCCTCTTGACAATTCTGCTAGATCCACATCCCGTGTAAAGACGGCATTGGTTAAAGGCGCAATGTGCTGGCCGTTTTGAATGTTTGTTGTTAGTCGAAAGAATACTAACCCAAAAGCAAAGGCATTGGTAAAGGTTGGGATTTAAAGAAATCGCTTGGGGATAAGGCTTTGTATCTGTTCCTTCTTGTCACTTTTTCCCACTTCGGTGTTTCCTAGCCACACCTATCTGTGTTTTCTCCCCAGAGCAGAGAAGTGAAGTAGGTATTGCAAGTCCACGTAATTAATATCGCCATACAGAAGCGGTAGAGTTCCTCATAAACAACTTTTTCAAATAGTTCAGGGGTAGTGGCCCCTTTGATGTTAGTAACTTTCCTTCTATTGGGGGTCTTTCTCGAGTTTTTCATCCAAAGCACAAGCATCCCTGCTAAAGTTTATCACCAAGCAGCAAAAAACAGGGTGGTTGACCTTTAGGCTCGGACTCGCTTCCCGCTGCCATAAATGTAGCCCCCCGAGACATTCTTGAAGACAAAATGATGGAAAACGTATTGCTGATGCAGAGAAGAACTGAAGGGCTACCGTCATAGTCCGTGGACCAGGCCATCCAGGGATGTCACAGCGACAGAGCCCATCGTGTCCCGTTACCGAAACAGCGAGTTAAGCAAGTAACCAAAAGAAGAGGAGGAGGAGGAGGAGAAGGAGGAAAGTGCCTTGCGACGCTTTTATCATCACTACCCCATAGAGGCGGTCCGCGTCTAACCCGTCTTCTCGTTGCAAGGGTGTGAAGGCTGAGGTGGAAGGGAGAACCATCGAGCCAAATACAGCTTATTTTTACTTCTTTAATGGAATGAAGGGGTTTTAGTCATTCACTATACCTTTTACTTACCCTGTATGACGAAAGGTTAAGAGGTTGGACGGTTCACTTACTCGGTGAATGCGAATTGGCGACACTGTGACGACAGTGAGAAGGCAATCAGTGAGCCACTCTGTGAATTTTATTTCTTCAATCTTCAGCAACTTCGCATTCATGCCTCCTCTTCCCCCCCTTAGCTGCCAAATGACACCATTTATCATCAGTCCTGCGAACGCACCTTCTACTTTGACATCCGACTTACAAAGCGGGTTAGTATTAACCCCTCGACAAGGCGGTGTATATTTATTTCCATCCCATGTCAGAACTTGCATTACAATGTGACTTGCTAGGTATAAGGACGACTATTTCAAGTTCTAAATGATCTTGTCATGCTGATAAAAAAGTAGGCGTGCTAACCACGTGAGTAAATGGTAAACGTGCACCGACTCCTCAAAAAAAATTGACGAATTTTGAACAAGAGAGTTAGATACTTCTTAAATATGTATAAAATTAGGCATTTTCTGACACTCATAGCCAATGGCTTGTTTGTGCTATTTCCCGTCTCCGATCCCCATCCCCCACCCACCCCCCACTTTCAATATTGGTACCTGAGATCAATGTCACGCATATGTGACACGTGTTCCTAGATTTTTTTCTGCTAACCCGTTACATCAAATCGTTTGTAAACATGAAGATCCGGCAAAATTTCATGCCAGTTGGCCAGGAGCTGATTGACTTGCCTTCACGATCCACGAACAGACCAAGCCCTCCACCCACATCACGCGTTAGTCGAGTTGGCCCTTTGGAAGGTCAAAGTTTTAAAAGTATTCACCACTTAATCTTTTTCTGTTATTCTCTTTAAAAATGTATCCAAGAGGATGTTTTGAAAGTGTGTGTGATACTGTAGCGGATCGTTCATTGCTAAAATATAAATGCGCTTTTTAATAATTATTAGTCAGAGTCTATTACTAGCACCGCCCAACATTTGCCTCAGTCACCACTATTGTACAAAGCCTTGTGTAGAAGGATGTAGCAAATATTCACTGGAATAGGCTCCTTGTAGAAGTCATATTTTATAGCTCCACTGCCCCCCAATCCCCCCTCACTCCCTCTTTCCACGAAAATTGAGGGGCGGTTTGCGTGTCAAATCCTCGTTCACTTATCCCCTTTGGAGGAGGCGAATGCCTTAGCCAGCCTCACTTCAAAGTGGGACTGATTAGCAGGTGAGACTTGGTGATTTTAAAGTCTGAAGTGGACTGACTAGAAGTCAGACAGCAACGATTAATAAGAAAGCCAATACTATACGAGATGATTGAGCACCAAGCAAAACGTCCAAACCAAACCGGGATTCGTGAAGTTCTCATGGGGCCAAGAAGAAACACACTGTGCGGCTAAATTCACATGCTACGGAAGATTTGTTGATATGGCTGAAGTATTATGGGAAACCTTTCACCTTTTTGACCCACAACGTGCCCCAGTTTTTGGAAATGATGCATGAGTGATTGCCTTGCGTGCACCGTTCCCACAGGTGGATATAAATTAATAGTGTCAAGGATAGGGCAGGTGTTGCCGGTTCACAGGACTGCCTGACTCCTGCGGGCTGTCTTTGGGTAGTTTATATTCCATCCACTAAAAGGTCTTACTGTAGACAGATGATCGGCCATTGTGTTGGCCTTGGAGTTTCCTCCTCCAGTATTTCCCAGTAGTAAAGCTCGGCAACTCAGTGTCAAGGAAGTAAAGCTTTCGAGATCATTTTGCATCCGACAGCAATTCAGGGAGGCAAAAATTAAATGGAATTGGCGCGGTTGGAAGAAGTAAAGCCTATTCAGGTGTTGGTTCTATGAAATCATTCTCCTGGAACTTTTTTAAGAAAAACTGCAATAGGAATACAATTTAGTTACCTTCAAGGACTCACCTTTTAGAGGAGGTCTTGTCTCCAGGAGCAAAAGCCCCTCCTTAGCCTCTAACGCTCACCATTCTTACCGCACTTGCATTTCCCAACTGTCTCTTTCCTCCTTCTCTTTCTAAAGTGAGGTATGAGATTCTCCCCTTGGTAGGTTTCAAGGAAAAACTTGCATAGGTCTTGTTTTCGTACGAATGGAAAAGGAGCTAAACTTTCTTCCAACTGAGTGACCACTTTAGCTGTTTCTCCAAAATAAGTTTCCTACAAAACCTTTCATTTGCAAGGTGGATGGATCGCAGGAATAGTTGTCTAGCCTCCAATATATTAAAAGTTCCAGTCGCAGGATTCCAGCAGGAGACCCAGTCCTCAGCGGGCGAAGGAATGGGGATGTCCGCCCTAGATGCGGCCTAGAAGTGTGTATTGGATGGTTTGGCGATGGATAGTATGGGAACGACAACTAACCAAAGATGTGGTTGTCGGTTTACCGATACAACACCACAAAATGGTTACGTCCCATCCCAAGCCGCTCAGTCTATCAGAAAATCTAGAGCCGCTAGCAGCAGTGCGAAACACAATTACAACCCTTGAAGCTGATTTTCAGTCACCAGTCATTTGGTTAGTAGCTTCCACCGCGACATTTGCCTCCATAGTTGACGCAAATCCAAACGTTTTGTTTTACCACTCACAACAATCTCAATTTAGCATGGCAATGCTAACACGTTATTTCTCCTGATCGAGGGTCTTTGTGGACATGTGCATCTGTCTTGGAGTGGTTAATCGCCAGCAACAAATGGTGCGTTCGTCTGTTGCCTTCCGCGTTTTCCTCGAAGTCGAGTTAAGCACTGAGATATTCCCTAACATCGGAGCGCGATAAAACCTGAGGAAGATTGCCTCACTGATTAAATAACGAACATTCAAACTAAATGATAAGCTCCAGCAGGTCATCGCAATGTTTTAGACCGAAAAGTAAGCGGAAATTCGCCGTCATTCCGCAAAACAGGAGTTAAGGAGAAGGGAAGAGCCCCATACAGTCGACTGTAAAATCATGACAGACAACATTCTGACACATAGACACCGTCCTATTTCAAACGCTCGTCTCGTCTATCCATCCCTCCATTCAGTGATCGCGCAACTCCCGGTCAGTGGTGCTAGGCTTGAGCTCGCCAAGTGTTTTGGAAGACAGGCATCCACTGTAAACGGCTTCACTCGGAGACGTTTCGGAGTAGTAAGTGGTACCTTAGTCGTCCACAAAGCCGTGCAAAGCCTTACTGGTCCAGCCTGAGGGACACACTCCATACCACCAAGGTACAGACCTAGTCGTGGTAAATTGAAATGGTCCAACCTGTCATATACACCTAATGTTAAATGTCCTCCAACTATCACCCATTGAAACCGGCGTTTCATGCATTAACATCCATTCTTCGCTTTTGAATGAGTGCTTCTTTCATGTGGAAACAATTCCCTTTCAGTTTAGAATATAGCAAAAAAGGTACGAAGAATTGTGCCCAAAATTGCATTCCAGATAATGTTATTTACAATGACAGAAATACAAATGCTTGGAGATTATATGACCCATGAAATTTTACACCAAGGCTGAAGAGCGTTAAATTACTGAGGCAAATACAACCAAGGAAAGTTATCTACATCGAAGTGCACAATCAGTTGCCATCCGAGAGCAAAAAGCGCAATAAGAATTGATGAGATTACGAAATATTGTTGAGGCGAAAGTCCTGAAGGGCTGGAAGGTGATAGAGGAACAGAAGGAGATGCGAGGTTTTGCGGAGCCTCACGGAGCAAGTGGACATGATACTGTTCAAGGGTGGAGGGTGGAAGAAGTTCGCATGCCGACAGAAGATGGCCCCGATCAATTTCGACCTTGCATGATTCGCGAGTCAACTCTGCCGCGGCCTGCACAACACCAACCACTTCAGCACCCGTGTAGCCCTCCAGTTGTTTTTTCGCAAATACCTCCAGCCAATGGGGTTTGAGTGCACGTTTCGAGGTCGCCCGTTTCGATAATTCTAACTGAAGAATAGCCTTTCGAGCCTCAGCATCTGGAGGTGGCACATGAATGGTGACGTCAAAACGACCTGCCCGACGCAACGCCTTGACAAAAAGTGGGAATAATGGTATTATGAAAAGTCGGAAATCGACCTTCGGGCCTCAATACTGATTGGCAGATCTGCAAATTGGTGTCGCATTTGTGGGGAGGGAACCAAATTTGGTCAAATAACAGCTGAATAGGAAACTGAATTAAATACAGTACCAGATTTGAATTTGGCCACCGCCCTAGTAAATTCTGGACCCATTTCCATACCTATTACCGAATTACTGTGGATGCTCACCCGCATTTGAAGAGGGCTCCTAGAAATGAGAGGGGAAAAAGGGGTAGTACAAAAGTGTGTCTAGGCGCAGCATGTGACTACTTTTGTCTGGCAATCCGACAGTGCCCGCAGTTTGCCAATGAGAGGTAAAGGTAGCCGTAAAACTTTACGAAAATGACATCAAGAGGGAATGTCGTTTTGTCACGCACTTCCTAGTTGATAGTGGTGTAAGGAATACCGAACGATTTAGCCGTTCAGCTAAGTAGAGGCACATCTTGAAGCGTCTTCAGAGATAAAACCGCCAACAACACACAACACACGTCATTTCATCCACTGGACAGTCTGATCAAATGTCACTGTCAGGTACTAGCGACTACTCCGAGGTCAAGTTCGGTTCAGTGTCCAGCTATAGAGAAGGGCCGAGTTTGAACAGAACAAAATAATTATTAAATTACTCGGTTACAATAATGATGGGGGAAGTGGAGAACCCCGACAGACGATCCGACTGACTCGTGGTAGAATACTGTCGGCCTCTTTAGCGCCGTTTCGTGATGCAATTCACCCAACAGGAAGTGATAGCTGGAAATGTCGTCTAAAGCCACCACATGTGAAGTCGTCTTGCGGGGGAAGCAAATTCATTCTGCCCTCTTTGCTCCAGTCTCACGGTCGACTTGAGGTCACCGGAAGGCCCTTGACAGCCGCCACAGTGGTCATGGCGAGAGCTGAAAACAACATTCTCTTTGTCCAGGTGAGTGCACTGACCTTCACGATGATGGCATGGAGCTCTGTCCATCCCATATTACCAGTTTGGATCAAAACGCCTTCCAGACATCTTCAAGAGATAGTCTAAGAGCTTACAATCCTATTCTATTCAGACCATTGTTACCACTTTAAATGCACACGCATCGAATGTTTCAATGCGCTCACTGCACGGCACTTGAAGGGACACACTTCGGCGTTTTTTGAGCGACGCTGACACGCGATCCACTCGCCGAGATCGGAGGGAGCGCATGATACACAAAAAAGTGGCGCACTAAACAAAGACTGCTATGCGATAGTTTTGTACCTTTACGCCAGTAGTAGATTGACGATAAGATAAAAGTGGGGAGGGGGTGGGGGAGGGAATTAGCCACTTGCGCCAGAGATTCAGAGTTCAAAAATTGGAAAAATGTTCTGGTTTGGACCGCCATCTGCTTGAACAATCCAGAAAGCAGTTTCAAAATCCCCAGAAATGCTTTCTTCACTCTTTGTCAAACACCTCCTGAAGGATTCATCAAAACACAAATCGGTTTAAAGACACATCATTCGTGAGCAACATCGGCTACGAGCAAAATACCGATTCACTAGAGGAGAGGCACATGTGTTGCTGTCTCCACATTCAGATGGATAAGCACAAAGTGCTGGAGACCACATTGCAGGCAAGATAACTAAGACGAAAGTATTCTAAGGATTTTGCGGGCATAAAAAGCATTGTACTGCCTGCAAATGAACGGCTTTGCATATCAAAGATGTGAGTATAAGATGAACTCATTAACTACAAAATTGCTGATCCGGATTTGGAAATAAGATGGCACGTTAGATGACCACAGCCATCGGTGAATGACAAGAGGCTGCACAAACGTTGGGGTACTGTACACACCATTAAGGGGAAAGTGTCCCCTACCACGAGTACTGGTAGGACACACCGGACAACGCTAAACAAGGTGGCAGGCATCAGCTGCAGTGTTTCTGAAGGAAATTTCTCGTGAGAGGGAGCGCAAAACCCATGGACATCAAGCACAGCACAGCCCACTGTGATGGTGAGACGTCCAGTCGCTCAGCCGTAGTAAACCATTGGAATGGTTTGAATATGGCCATTGCAGAGACGACCAAACGTAGGTCTGTAGGTCAGTAATGGCCCCAATGTGAACAAAGAGCGCAGAGGTCAGGTGACTAGGCTTATGGAGCGTCTGCCTCATTCTGGGCACCTGACTAACACAGAAACCTCTGATGATGTTGCAGATGAGACGAGTTGCTTTCCATGGGAGCGGTGAACACAACGCAATCACTCCGAAAAGTTAGCGCTAGGTGGGCATCAAGATAGCTTGCCACGCTCGACCAGCACGGATAACGAAGTGGAGCAAGCCATCTTGGGGATGGTCCAGATGCTAATCAAACTCGGGGCTGAGTGTGTAAACATAGCACGGGACTGCGGCAAAAGATATGTGCGGTTTCTGTTACTTTCAGTTCCTCCCCCTTTCCTCATAAACTCAAAATTCAGTCTTGAACGATCTTAGTATTGGCTGGAAATACAACAAGGTCAAACCTTGACGATGGCGTGAGCAGGATCTTTCAAAAGAGATTACGGCTGAGGAGTTACAGCGGAACAGTATCTAACCAAAGAGCCACTTACTGACATTTAAGGCCATTTACGAACTCGCCCTCAAATATTACTGTGCCTTAAATGTATCGAGGTAGGCGTGAAGCACCCTTGGCGTTGCGAGAGCGACAAGAGACAGGGACTCCCGTACTTAATATTCTAAGGAAACGGTACTGTCTTGCAAACCCGGAGTGAGCCTTACCACGGATAAAGAGTGATCATATTCTTTTGGATGAGGAAAGAAAGCTGATTACAAGAAGCGTAAATAAACTGGGCCGGAAGTAAACTAAACGCCAACAGTAGGGAAGAAATAGGATAGTTTTAGGATCTGAAGGGATCTGTCAATCATTAGTGACCATTAACTGTGTAGAAGAGTGTGTAGGTTGTGCGGACAGATTATTCTTCCATGAAGATATCCATTCTATTTGAGAATGGTGACTATATCCCCTAACCTGTAAGTCATTTTATCGAGACTCCCGTCTACTAAGAAAAAAAGATTTTGGAGTATTTTAAACCGTTTTGAGGAGGGAAGAGCCAATTCGCTGTTACAAGGAACGGAAACACGGAAAGAGAAAGGGCATGCGTATGAATTGGTCAAGCGTACTGACCTATATCCAATTAAATTGACGAATCCAGAAAGCGAAAAGATGAATTATAGTGATCTAAAAATAGGATTAGCTCACCCAATAACGCAGTATAGTAGTAGATCGGGCCATTCCCATCAACAAGGCAATAAATCTTTCCCAAGAAAACTAGGCCCGATGCAGGAAAGTACACCGCTATCCCATGCGTACAATTTCAGTGTCAAATTCTGCCTTGCTCATGCATGAAATCACCCACACAGCGGATCCAAACGCCACAATACGAAGGAGGTACACACCAAACAAGTAGTCCGAAAAGTACAGTCACGAGTTTGATGAGTTGGGCTGACGACTCTTGTTTAAAGCATGAATGGAATGAATCAAGCCACCAGGCTGCATGGTCACTTGTCCTCCAAACTCAGAGGATTACATGACATTGTTCCTCTTTGGTACAATTTCCCTCCAAACTACAAGGACAGTTGACTTGCCAGAGGTAGGAGCAACATAGGATTAAATTTAACTTGACTATTTGGCAGAAATTATGATCAGAGGTGTCAAACAATTTCAAAAGAAAGGAAGCAGAGTAAAGTAGACTGTCTGAGGACTACTGGGAAGGTAAGAAATCAAAGTCACATAAAGAGTTTGAGAGGAAGGGGAGACGGTTATAGCTGTAAATACTAGCACAAGTTCGTCTGTTTATTTCTGCATCCGACAAAAAGTTTCCCATCCATCACGAAAAATCGCAAACAGGAGGGTAAAAAACCAGGTGCAAAAGTCATTTTGACACCTTAAGTGATTTGAAAAAAGAGATAATAAAATGAAACATTGTTAAAATTCCAGCAAATAAGACTTGAAAGAGCAATATAAAGTTAGGATGCAAGATAATGAGAGAGTACCTCATCTTATCACTATTATCCCCATGGCATTAAGTAGTGCAGCACAAACGCAAGCACAAAGTAAATGATAGACAAGTAGACGAAAGAAAATATTATTTACTGTCAAAAGTTATTCAGTCGTCAATGTGCATACCTTTACTCCAGCCAATTTGGTGCGCCTTCAACTAATGATAAGCGACAGTAGGCCCTCAGAAATGCTCCCAACACGATAGTAAACCATCAATAAATGGTAGAACTTGAAAAAAACTGACCAAAAATGACATCAATGTTTCAGTTAAATTTTGTGTAAGCAGCTTTTTTATAAAAACAATCACCTTTAGTTCTTATTAGCGATTCATCCCCTATTTAAAGTGTAAGTAAGCACATTCTAATGCCCTAAACGGATTCAGATTTACAGATTCGCCTTCTTTATGGAGGTAAATGGGAACTAACCGGATCGAGATTTTCGAGACGATTCGTGGCTGCAATCAACAACAGTTGGCCACATTGACCTTCAACACCGTCCATGGCGGTTAGAACTTCGCCCAACACATGTTCGCTAACTCCTGACTCACTGAAATTAAACGTAAGTAGCCAACAAAATTACAATCCTACCTTGAACTTCTAGACGGCAAGAGCAAGTCGATTTCATCGATAAACAGGATGGCGGGAGCGCAGGCGCGGGCATGGACGAGAATCCGCTGCATATTCCTTTCGCTATCACCGACATACCGACCAAAAATTCTTGAAGCTTGAACTGCCACCAAAGGTAGATTGCACTCTGTAGCCAAAGCGCGAACAAACAGGGTCTTCGAACAGCCTGGAGGTGTAAAATGCATTACTCAGTCGGTAACGAGTAACGAATATTTTATAGAAGTAAAGCATTCACAAACCTGGAGGTCCATGCAGCAGAATGCCACGGGGAACACTCAAGCCGAGACGTTTATTAGTTCGGGCAGCCTCGCTGCTAGGATCAGCGGCTTCAATAAGTCGTTGTTGGATTGTCGAGATAAAAAGACGCTTGATTTCTGCATAACCACCAATATCCGACCAGCGCATGGGAGGAAAAACTGAGATTTCTGCGCATAAATTAACTGGGCTGTAGTGATTCCGCTCTGCTTCCAATTTGTCCAGAACCTGAGAGAAGTTGGGCACGCAAGTCTGATAGCCCTCCTCCACTTTGACTCTCTGCTTAACACATTCGTCAATCACAGCAGCATAACTTGCTCTGAACAGCCGAGAAATGTCTCTAAAGTGCAAAAAACGTATTAGTCATGATGACTTGGTACAAAAAAGCAGCTGGTAAAGAAAGAACCTGCATCTTACGCTACTGTGTATCCATGCAAACTGGCAGCTAGATGATAGAGTCGATCGCAATCTCCCAAACTCCCAGTAGAGATTGAAAATTCCTTTGAGTTGCCATTCATTTGCGATGCATAGCGCTGCATTTCTTGTACCAAAAGTCGAAATCGCTGTTCCCCGCTGGGTAAGGAAACTAATACTCTTTTGTAAAACAAAGTTCGGAAGTCCCTGTGCCTCAAAATTTCCGTAGAATCAGTGCTCGTGGCCAACACACAGATGGGAGTGGTGGCACATGCACGTTTTAGTGAAGTAAATAGGAAGGAAAGGAGACTCGTGTTTCGACTTAAAACTTCCGAATCATACAGTTCATCTGCCTGGCTGGAATTTGGACTCTGAATAGACGAGAGCCAAGTGTCTAGATTGGGCAGGGATAAGACAACTCCGCAGCAGGAACGAGGTATATCCGCCAGTTTTCGTTTGATGTATTTACGAAGAGAATTTGAGCTAGCATCAGATTCTGAAATTGCACAATCATCCATGGAGAGGGTGACAAAGTGAAGACCCCGATACCATTCCTAAAAGAGCAAGTATCCGATTGGTCTATCACTCGCTTTTGGACAATGATATATGTCGTAAACTAAATATCAACCACAGGTACAATGAATAAATTACACAACATTTGAGAGGCTCAATTCCGCCCTCATCACATCGAGCGTCGGCATTGGAGATCACTTCAAGAACTCGACTTTTTCCACAACCTTGAAGACCATACAGTAGCAGACCTGTTGGTTCAACAACTTTCTGCAGGAATTTCGTAGAAAGTGAGAAATGGCGAACGAATTCCACCACCAACTTCAAGGTATTCTCTAAACCGATAGGGGGATGATGCGAGTTCAAATTCTGCGTCGGATTTGATGGGACACGCCAGGGCACGTTATCAAAAGGAAGCATTTTTATTTGTGTATTTGACGAGACCTATAACGTCAACTAAACACCTTGTTCCTTTGTAGAGAAATTACCTTATAGACAGCCCTATCACTTTCGGCATTGGAAAATGAAAAAGAAGTAAAGTCAATGAATTCATTTTGGTCATATCGCTCCGTGTTGAACGTGAAGGGATGTGCTGCCATCCATTTCTCGGGAGAAAAACTTAAAAGGATCATTGGAAATACTAAAAGTCAAGTACAAGTAGGAGAAAGAATGTTTAATAAATGGTAATCATTCTTACGATTCATCCTCTTCCTTGCCAGAGGGCGACGCAACAGACAGAAAATGCACCAACGTTTCACACCCTAAGGTTTTGAAGCACTCCGTCGTTCCAGGTAAAATATAGCAGTGTTCTAAAACTCAGATGCAAGAAGACCTAACAACATACGGAGTCGTAGAAGCAAAGACCACACAAAGGACTCAGAATTTCGCGCATCGCTTCGACTACAAGAAATGAAAGTATGCAATGATTTACTTTATGATTATGTCGATGGAATGAGCGGGGAGAACTGTCTTCACTTTCGAAGTGGTTATGGTATCAGACGGTGACAATAGGTAACGTCTTAGAGATCCCTGACGAACAGACGGAGTTTGTGATTTGGAAGCGCCGACAACAGCGACATGGGATTCATTCAAAAGTATTGGCTGAAATATACTCAAGCCGTTTGACTCCATGATGGATATGGGAAGATAAACATCCACATGCATTCTTGAAGGTCAACTTTAACAGTTCCGCGTCAAATATCTGCCAATTCCCTTGAAGCCATGCTGATAACCTACATTTTAATTACCGGCCCATGTGACAAATTAAGTAGAACTGCATACTGACTAAAACTAATTAAAAATGCATTTTAGAAACTAAGCCTTTTTCGAACCGTAAGTCTGGTCCAATCTGCACCGCGTCTTTATAACAGTGGTTGTCTAGGAAGATAACTTAAGCAAATACTGTCATTAAATTTTTGCCAGTGTAAAAGGAATAATTAGAACAACTTGTGCAATGCCGTGACGCAACTACAGTACCGACGAACGAGTGCCGTGCAAACCATAAAAGTATGGAATAAAACGTGTTTACAGATATTCTTCATTTGTTCTGTAAGCGAAGTTGTGGTACTATGACACATCATTGCTGCCGCGGCTCGAGTGTCATGCCGACTAGGAGAAGCATAAACCATGGAGACTTAAGCTTCTGTGTAATAAAACGGAGTTAGACAAACTGTCAGGGCATCGTACTGTCACTCCATACCATTAATTTTTGGTGTAGAATGGATTCAAAAGAGACAATACTTGCCATTTGATTTGCACTAATTAGGGCACTTAACGGCGGCGACTGGTATATTCCAGCAAAAAAATTTCTTCTCCCGCATTTGGAATATTGACAGCAGTATGCACAAGGCGACTCGCGAAAGCCAAATAAGCGCTAATGGGCACCTACTAGCAGCACTTAAAAATAAATTGAGCGTCGCTAGCGCCACTTCAACTTATACTTAAACTGTTCAACTCAGGACTTATTCGCTTTGGAAGAGTTCGCCCAATTTGAAGCTTGAACTTAGTAGTTGACCCCATTCACGTCCAATGGACGAGCAGCCTAAGCAGCCCACCTTAAGTCTAGCACTGTCGAATGAACTGCGTAGGTGCTTATTGAACCCAGCACATCTAATTTAAGACTAGTTGTTGAATGCAGGGTCGGAATTGGAGGCCAAGGCTAGGCACTTGCTACACCTAAAAAACAAGCACCCCCCATGGTAATAAGTAACGCTCGTCCAGGATACGAACAACCAAGATCACTCCCAAACCTGCTTGATTGACTCCTGCGGCGTTTAAGCGACCCAAGAAAGCAGCCTTGTAGAGCCCCACCACTGGCTCAATGTACTCCGAGAACTAATTACCCGGAGCGATGGGTGAAAAAAATACCACCCCATATCACACAGAGCCACTGCTCTGAACACACGAATACCCAACCACGCAGGCCAACACTAACACCTTTATTAGAGAAACAAATTTCACACGACTGGAACAAATAAGCGAATCCTTTGGATAAGCAGAAAAGTGGTACAGAAAATCGGCTGCAAAATTTGTTTCAAATAAATCAAATGTTACTAAAGAAGCAAAAAATTTGGCGCATCAATGGGGATCCCTGGCGGCGGCGTATACTTTCTCCATTTGGCAAAACAACTGCGCATTGCATGCCTGAAATAAAGAAGACCGATTCATTGCCAATCATTTCTTCCGCTAATTTGAGAACGGTATATTAAGCGTCTAGTCTCAAGGGATTCTCTTATGCGTGCCAAAGGCAATCTTTTCCACTCTAACTGCAGAAATGCATTAAGTGCTGTATAACTGGCAAATATCAACTACCATCCTTCTACCAGCGAATGCGTGTGACTAGGCAGAAGACGTTTTGAAAGTGCTTGACTCCACACTTGTGAAGCAACGACACATATTGAAAACCGCAAACGTATCCACATGGTTAAAGTTTACTATAAATTAATAATTTTTTACCTTGATCTCCTCCAAAAGACTCTTATGCGACTGATTCGAGAAACTCCTAAAGAGAAATAAGAAAAAAATGATTCATCTTACTTTACTAGTCCATCTTTGTTGAGATTTTCCTCACTATTTGGTGACTTTGGGAAAAGATCAAACTCAATAGGTTCGAGGGAATAGATATAGCTTTTGTAGTTAACCCGGAAAACACGTATTGAAACATCGGTGCTAGTGAATTCAACTAAGCAAAAAAAGAATCTGGATATGGGAGGGAAGCGCATATAGTCGTTAATACTGAGGCTTGGGTGGCTTCTCTTGGAGACACATCTGAAAACTCCGATGGTTTTTGGAGACGGGAATAAGATTTTCTTCTTAGTGGTCAGCACGCATGGCACGGCGACGGCAATATCTGCAGAGGAAAGAGGCATCGCATAGAAGTATTACAAATGCACATACTGGGCTGTTGAAGGTTATCTTCATCATCGGATAAAAGAATGCCTTCCTAAATTCCGGCAATGAGGGAGATCAAGACGATCGATGTTACTTTATATTCCGGTGGTCCGTAGGCATATGAGCTCAGGGAGGCGAAGCAAACGCTTGACATCAATATTGCCATTAATATGCTGGATAGATAGCAATATCAGAGCGTAGAATAAAATCGCAAATCAAAGGGACATACATCTTTAAGTAAGTAGAAAAGTTTGCAAAGATGCCCAGGAATGAACGTAAAACGCAGAGGCAACAAAGTGAAAACGCGTTTCAAACACCTTAAAAGGGATTCCAAAGCAATTCAAGGCAGCTTGAGGATTTTCTTTCCACAACCGAACACCTAAGTGAGCCAACAAAAAACTGAAATAAGGCCCATAAATTGCTGAAAATAAATAAAAAAACTGTATCTGTGATTATAGCACCCAAAGGTAAGAAGCAACGCACAAGCATCTGGCATGCACAAATACACGGCAAGTAAAGGAGGAAGGGCAGTTTGAACAATGAAATTAGTTGCAGAAAATGATTGTTAAAAGAACCATAGTCATTCGAGGCCAGTAAGTGACGGGAAAATATTGGCAAAGGAACAAATCATATTGAGGGATCTTGCCAGACAGAGGCCAACACTTTGAAAGTAGGCTGAAAAGTACCTCGAAAAAATTAAACCGGAAAGGGCAAAACGACTGTTTGTAAACGCGCGTTTCGCTCATATCATAGAAAGTACTTCGAAAAGTCGCACGACGAATGACATAACATACCGTTGAAAAATTAACAATAGAAAACAAAGGATTAAGAGGGCTGCTAGAGGAATGTTTTACGAGTACAAAGGAACAGTTTTTTATGTCTGAGGCAATTATCCTCTAGGCGTATCAATCATAAATTACTTTACTCTGGCGCATAGTAGTGCAAGTAATTTGACACAGATAGTGTGCAAATTTTAGCAATTTTCGGAAAATTACTGGTAATTAGTGGCATTTGATTTAGTCATAAAATGATATTGGCATAAATAGTCTTCCCTGAAGACGAAAGACGACAGTGCTCAAGCGCACTATGCATTTAGGATCCGCAAAAAATGTTAAGAGCTATTAACATGGCTCAGTGCCCAGGTCTCTCAGTGGAAATATAATGGCACACCTATAATTGGCCCCTTGCCCAACTGACAATCAAGCAACTCTTAAAAAATAGACGTAGTTGTAGCGTCCCGAGACTCCCTGAAGACAAATAATGACACAGTACTCGGGCAGAATATATATTTTAGTGCAGAGAAGGTGTCTGGGCTATTGGCATGACTTAAAAGGTCAGCTCCCCTAGCAGGGTACATGGGGGCTGATTCAAAGCACAAAAGTGGCGCCTCACCGGTACCGAGGGATAAACCACTGTCGTATTACATAGTATTGTAATGCATAGTAATATTGTTAAACTTTCTGATTTGGTATCGAGGCTCTTAGAGGTCTCCTGACATACTTTCACCGGGCCTGGCCTACGGTGTATGCCACTGACCTCTTAGCCCTACGTTATATAAGCAATACATTTTCTGCCGGCATTAAGGAAAACCGGTCTTAATGGACCCAACCTGGTTTTTACTGCTAGATGATAGGTCATAACAGGCCGGAAGATTTTCATACGCTGGGGATGGAGAAATATGTCACAGCTTTAAAACTAAAGCCAACTGCCTAGTCTGTGGTCCGCAAGGGAGCTAAAAAAGCTAAAGTGGCAGTGGCTGTGAAACACTTGCACGTTGGTATCATTTGCAAAATTTCACGACAAACTCTCACTTATTTACCAGCTAGACTGTATACATGCAGATATAAGTAAAACCAAAATCAAATCTTAAGCAATTATATACGATTCAGATTTATCAATGGACTTTGACTTTGCGCCAATTTTCCTACGACTAATTTTGCAATTATATGGTGGCTAGCACATTTCCCGCATCGCTCAGCATAGTTTTAATGCAGAAAGCAAATCTAAGACAAAAATAGAAATTAACGGCATTGCTACTGAGAATTTAACTAAATGAAAATTGCACGACTGAAACAGGGAACTCACATGTGTTTTTCGTACATCATCGGCAATATTTTGATGAGTGTCACAAGGAACTGACCATTGGGAGGTCCCAGAACTTCACTTAAAAGAAAGAAAGAGCTAAGCTGTATTTTGTGTTTAGCTATTTTTTCTTTCCACAAGGGGCAATTAAGGGCCTACCTGTCATACCTTCACTGTGCGGCCTGCCCTCTGGGGCATACCTGTGCCACCAAAACGCCTTGTTGATCCAGCAGTGCATGTTTTAAAGCAATGCGTTTTCTTGTGTCTTCAGAAAATCATTACTATGCTAGGGTATTCAGAATGAATTTACCGTGGGAATATTTTAAAAACTAATTTTTTGGTCCAAATTGGAGTTCTACCTCTGTATGTGACAGGTCTAAAAAAATGGGTAAAAATTTTGCAGTTTTTTGCATGACAAAATATATTATTTTATTTTTGTGGCACATGCAACTGCCGTGCGTTAGCCTCATGCTTTCAACCGTAGTGATCATTCTTTTCTCTCATTTTCTGTAGGCGCACCATTAAGCTTCGTTTTCCGTTATAGCAATGCCAACCTATCTCTCTATAGCATCCATATATCATTATTCTCGCTATTTTTTACAATTGGTTCGCATATCGTAAGGCCTGGGCTTTTCAAATTCTTGGATATTTGGGAAGTCTTTACCCATCTGTGGAGTGATAGTGTAGTACCTTTATTAACATGTGCCCTTCTCTACATCCTCTTTGATTAGTAATATCTGCGGGAACATATTATAGGTATCCTTAAGCAAATCTTTTATTTTCGCACAATTGTGTTCATTCGTGTATTTTCATCCTGACTAACTATGAATACCTCTTTTTTAAAGGTAATGGTTCAGGGCGACTCCTCAAAGGAAAGGTATTTTGTTTGCTTTATTTCACTTCTCACTATATTAGCTCCTCTGAACTAGGCCTATTGTACAAATGTCATTTTCTATTTAGTTCTAAGGATCTGGGTAAAGAGTTAATGAGCCAGAGCCTCCGCCTTGCCGAGTACACTTTCTTTCTTCAAGTCCTTCTCCGTGTGATTACCTTTGCCACAAATGGTCTCGCCTACCGCTGTGTGGATGCTAGCGTACTTGGGCTGGTCAACTTTAGACTTGGTCTCTACTACTCCACTCTGGTCTTCACTTCACGCGAATCCTTTCGTCGAGCCTGCCTTAGTCGTGGTGGCGAAATTCTCCTAACTTCTGGCTCCTTGCATTCTGATGCACGGTTGAAATGGCAGGCCCTTCTTAACGTCATGTGGTTAACGTAGGTCCGTTTTTTTATATTCTGCACTGATAGATTTAATCTTCCACAGTGTTCCTGTAGGTGTCCTACTGTCCTTTATCCTCCTACCTCTTTGGCTCTACATTTGGCCCTCCCCATCAGTTGATTCATCGAGTTCGGCTACAGAGCATCAGTATACGATCGCCTGCCTCTTCTACACACTCTCTGCTCTTCTGGAGCTGGCCACTGAACCCATGTGGCTTGTCTGTCAACTAGAAATGTGTCTGCGTGCTCGTATCGTACTGGAAGCTATTGCCAATATTGCAAGAGCTCTGGGTATCATTGTTGCGCTCTACTTAGGCGATGGGGCCTCATACGGTCTCTACCTTCTTGCCTTTCCGCAGGTGTGTGGCTTTTTTCGTTCGTGGCTTTTCTAAACCCTTCGAGTACCCAACCAAGTGCTCTTCCTTCAGCTTTTGCATGGATCGACACTATTGCTGGGATACCTGTTTTTCGCTTCGTGGTTGGTCAATTTGGTTTCGTCGCAACGGATTCAACTTTTTGGTCGTATTTCTCCAACTGGTCTGCGTGATCTTCTCCCGAACTTCAATAAGGTTTCTGTTCATTGTTGTTGAAATTGTTGTCAGTAGCACAATTTTCAATAAACCTAATTGAACAATTTTTTAACCGCCGTACGATGAAAAATCCTGATCAAACTTTTTCTGGCATTTTTTAAAGATACCCAGTCAAAGTAATTATCATTAAATTGCCAAATGACCACCTTCGAGTACCGAGAGGCGTACTGCTAAATACTTGAGCTGTCTAAACTGTCTATTTTGTTTCCACTTAGCACAAAGCGCTCTACGATTTTTTCCAGGAATAATATCGGCACAAATGGCTTAAAGTTCATTTGATGCATCATTTTTGCCGGTCAGCATTTAAATGTCCAAATGTTTTTAGAGGTTGTTAGACGTCATGTCACCTGGAGAAGCTAATGAGATTGGAATGACTGCAATACCTAGATTTCTCGCCCATGTAGGTTACTTTTGACTGGCCATGCCTTTGGCTCTCGTGGAATTTCTTCCGTCAAGGAGTTCTAAAGCAATTCCTCACTGAAGGTACACAACAACTGTCTGATATATACTTTGGTACTTTAAAATACGAATTCACTTCCCTTATTTTCTTTCAGGGGAACGCTATCTCATCAGTGCTTTCCATTTGCTCAGCTTTGCGGACCAAGGTAGGTCTATTTCTACTCCGGTTTTGAGCATATCCGTTTCACTTGTTTATCCCTATAGGCATTTACGATTTGGTGAACAATCTGGGCTCTTTAGCACCACGTCTCGTGTTCAGTTCCATTGAGGAGAGCTGCCACCTCCTCTTCTCTCAGTGCATTCAACGTGATGTCGCACCTAAGCGTCAGAATGAGGTGAGATGACACCCCGGAGGTGAGAATTTACTGATTTTGTGCTACTCAAGACGGGCTAGTGTTCTGCATCAAGTGCATTTTCCATATCATTTATCTTCGAAAAATAACCGAGAAGTGAAATAACTTAATAAAGCATATCAAATAACTTCTTCGAGGAGCGTTCATTCTCATTTTATTGTCAGTATTTTCATTTCAGTGCTATCAAACCACTCTGAATGTGGTGATGGTATCATTACATATCTCATATAGCTTAAATCTACTGTCATTTTAGTTGTCAATTGGCCAATTGAGGAATGCGATTCTGGACTGTGGCAAAAGCTAGCATTGGTTTTAACACTCTTGTCGCTATGTGTTCTAGTAGATTTAGACGTTCCTGGCATACGCTCTCTTCCATGACGTTAAGATGTTTGCTCATTTGACCAGGTTTCTTCATCATTGCCACCGATGTAGGCCCTAAAGCCAAGTCTGACGATGCTATAGGCTGTACCACTTTGGAAGAGGCTTTATCATCAACCCACAGAGGGACTGATGAGCCATTGACATTAATGAAATAGCATACCACCAAAATGGCAGCTTTGCTCGCTGTCACATTGTTGAATAGGAATTGGCCCTTTCGGCGTGTCAAGAGGCGAAGTGAATTTAGCAGCAGTTTAAGGTGTGGTGATACACCTCCTTAGAAGTAGCATCGGAAATTACGCTACCTTTTCGCGTCATTTCAGGCCCTGGTGTTACAGGCAGTAAGGATGCTGGAGACAAGTCTACGAGTGCTCACTCTAGTCGCTTGGTTGGGCTTCATTTTCTCGCAGGCCTACTCACACCTCTTACTCTATCTCTACGGTGGAAGTCGCCTTGTCTCCACCAATCCAGAGGTTGTCACCCTACTCCGCATTTTTGCTCTCTACCTCGTTTTCCTGGCCTGGAATGGACCAACGGAGGCCTTTCTCAATGCCGCCATGACAACGGTACGTCAAGTGCAGGGAGGAGGGTGCTTATTTCATTGTCTGTTGGTTATTTCAGACTGGCGTAAGCAGGCACAATTTCCGCTTAACTGCCTTCTCCCTTGTCTTCTTGGGTGCCGCGTGGATTTTGGTGCCTCTCTGTGGAGCAGCTGGTTTTATTCTGGCCAATTGCGTCAACATCTTCAGTCGAGTTGTTTACAGGTTCGATATTTGCTCTTCTGCAAGGAGAATTTAAATCAAACTGTTTGCATCTGTCTTCCGTCATAGTTATCGGCTATATTCATGCATTTATTCAAATGCTTAACTGATATCTGGAAAACGTTGGTAGGTAAAGGTTTTTCAGTGTGCTCGTAAATTTTTACGGCTTTTGACTGTGCTAGTTGACTGCTGCATGATGGTCAGAAGGAGGAAGATGTCTTAGCATCCATAATGTTTGTTACTGGGGAAAAAGTCGCCTTGTGGGCAGCCCCATGACCATTTATGTGCTTTTAGAAGGTGTCTGAGATGCGGCCGACGCTCTAATCCCTTACCTGGATGTTTTTAGAATTGATTGTCACTGCTAGAAGTATGATCATCTTTGGAAAGTTTGTTCAACATAAATGCTGTGCTGCTCTCCAAATCTTCTGTGCAAGTCTTACATCTTCGACTGCATGAATCTACTGGATTATCGCGCCTTTTTATGCAACCACCAACCCTTTTGCCTACCATTTTACGACCAGGTTCTGGACTGATCCAGGACGTGTAACAGAACACATTGATCAGTATCGTGGCTATTCCATGAATAATAATTACTTGCCTTCTTATTTTTGTTAGTTGCCACTTCATCAATCATTTCGTCCACCGTGTGGAGGAGAATTGTGATTTGACGGCCGAGTCGGTGAAACAATTGCGGGCGTTCTCGCTGTTCCGACTGATGTTTCCTTCAGGTCTTCAGATGACTCTATCACTCCTCGCCTTGGTCATGACTCTCGTCTCTGAGGTAAATTTCCTAGTATTCGTAAAACATCCTTGCCATGTGTTTCTTTCTACTCTTTTTATTTGTAGTATGTACTTTGCTCTTCGCTTACGCTGCCCCATATCATGATGCATATTGCAGTTGGAGCAATCACCTTTTCCGGCCTATTTTTTGTCATTCTGTGGGAGGAAAAGTCTGTTTTTACCACCCTCGCTGGAACTGGATTTGGCCGCATTTTCGGTCGCCTTTATCACTTCTTACCCTTTTAGATGCATCAACTTGTTTGTCCCACTGGTCCAGTTGTCTGTTATTTTAGCGTCATTGAATGATTGGTGGAAGCTGTTGGTACGCTCGCTGTCTTCTCTGGGCTCTGTTCGCAGGGTTGGCTGGACGTTAAATTTCCCAGCTTGGTTGTCTGAGAGCGTTTCAGGGCCGCGGGTTGCTGTGTGACATTCCCATTTAGTGCGTGGGGGATGGGGGCCGTGCACCAAAGCAACGTCGAGGCATATCGGCAGTGCCGTAGAGTCAGCGTCATATATGTATACATAGGGGCACAGGGAGGGGGTCCATTTATATTGGTGTGGGGCTGAATAATTCGGAGTTACGGGCAAGCTTAATAAATCCATTGAGGAGCTAAAGACTTTAAAAATAAGCGTCAAGCGTGGTAAAATCACTTTGTTACAGATTTTTTGAAGCTTTTTTAACGCTTTGTTATTTATGTTGATTTGTTTAGAACATGTGAATAATATTTGCAGTTTCGACAGTTGACCTTGAGGCGACCTAATTTCCTCACGAGCTGTTTCGGCGTTTATTGGCGCAATCTAAATGCACGGCCTTATTATCTGCAATAAATGGCCACAAGTGCCAGTGCCCCTCGAGAAATTCGACGTACATGCCGTTATTGTCAACAACAATGCTGATGTGTCCTGTGAATTCGCATACAAGAATTCAACTTCTGAGATAATTGAAACTGAATTCGCATTCCCATTAGAATCAACGGCCGCGGTGTACCACCTTGAAGCAATTATTGGTAAGAAGCATCTGGTGGCACACTGCAGAGAGCGGATTGAGGTAAGCGCCTCCTGATTCTCTCGTCGTTTATTCGCAGCTATTTGTATGGTCTTTTGGAAAAACATTGACATATGTTTTTACCTCAGGCTGAGGAAACCTATAGCGAAGCTGTGGAGTCTGGTCACACCGCATTTATGATGCAGGAGGATTACACAATGGGAGACACTTTCAGAATGAAATTAGGGAATATACCAGCTGGGGAAACAATAAAGCTGACCTTCAGATACGTAGTGCCTCTCTACGTGAGAGAGGTGGATAAAACCATTGAAAGATTTTCCGGCTTGCAAGAACCGTATGTGTTGATTTTCTCAATGCCTCTGCTAATTGGTGAAAGATACGATCCTAATCCAGGTTGGTTCATTGTGCTGTTTCTTGATTTTTCTCTTTGTGATGAGATCAGCCACATTTATTCACTTTTTGATAATAGGAGCCCACGGATGTACTGCAGCGCCACATTTATCCGCCAAAATGTCTTTTGTAGCCGATATATGTGCTACTGGTGGGGTTTTGTCTGTCACATCGGCACACCAAAAATTCCAAGTCAGTTTTGTGGACGAGGCTAAAGAGCACGCGAAGGTGAATGGTAATTCATAAGACTGATGCAATCGTCTCAATCTCTACAACTTCGGATGTCCGCATTTCAGATAACTGTGCCCGGTAACCTAGACTTGTCTCACGATTTCGAGCTGGAGCTTGCGCTGCAAAACCCACATGCCTTGTGTGCTCCTTGTGAATTGGGTTGTGCAAGCAAAGGCGGTTTTTTGGGCATGCATTGTATTACGGCAGCATTCCTTCCCAACATTTCCCAATCGCCAGCTAGTGATGGTGACAAACGTGAAATAATATTTGTTATCGACAGATCTGGTAAGTGACCCACATCAATTCACTCATCAAGTTATTTTCTACTTATTGATGCTCTTCATCAAAATGCATTTGTTTCCGATGCAGGAAGTATGAGTGGCTCAAAAATTCAAAATACCAAGGAATCTTTGCTGTTGTTTTTGAAGTCTCTACCAAAGAAATGCCGCTTTCAAATTGTTGGCTTTGGAAGCTCCTTTAACCCTCTATTTCCCCAGTTAGTCATTGTGCTAAGCCATTTCCTCTGTACAGCCGAAGTGTTTCTTTACTAATACTGCTGGTATTTTAAAGGCCGGTTGACTACAACAAGGAAAACGTGGAACAAGCTCTGGGGTATCAGAAAACCCTGTCGGCTAATATGGGTGGTACAGAGGTGCTTTCAGTCCTGAAATTCGTCTACGATACTCCCGTCACAGGTGCGGGATGGTATAGATGTATCATCTTTCTCACTGACGGTGAAATTTCTAATCAAGATGAAGTGCGTGTTTTGCCCCTTGTAATGGTCACGAAAAGGAACAATCAAAAAGATTGTGGAGTTGTGCTTTATTCTTGCTCCTAGGTAATTGGCCTGGTGACGCGGAACCAGCAATCCGCACGACTTTTTGCCATCGGTTTAGGTGATGAGGTAAGCACCTCGCTCATTTGGGGTGTCGCTCGAGCTGGTAGAGGCACGGCTGTGTTCATTCGTAGTGGGTAAGTTCCCTATCTCCTACAAATTATCCAGTAAACTTTAAATTTTATAATATTTCTGGAAGGTTACTACCTCCACTGTTTGTGGGTGATTATTTTCCATTGCTTGATAGATGCATCGTCAGATGGTGCAATAAACTGTTAAAATGCTTTCACTTCACACTATTGACGCAAGCTATTTCGAAGTAATTAGGCAAGAGGGCCTGGTAAATGCGAAGCGATCTTCTTTTTCACTCGAGCGCTTGTCGGTTGCACCATGTGTTTTCACTTTATGTGAATTGCGATTGAAGAGTTCAGGCACTTACTTACATTCTGTGAATTTTTTGGTTTGCAAGCGTTTCATGGCAGCTTTTGTGTTTTTTTTTATTCATTTGGGATTAACGTCCTTACGAATGTCATTTTTATTGGCGATTGTGTTGTTGATACGACGACAAAATTTTATTTAGAAGATCTTTGAGTTTTAAAATGACCTCAGCAAATTTTTAACCTGCATGTTCTTTTATGTGGAAAGTGGTGAATGCGTCCTTTTTGAGGCATGAGTTATTGTAAGCATGAAGGGGCACTGAAAGGACCCAGACATAGCCCCCCCTCCCCACCCCCACGCCTCCACGGGGTCATGACGGAAGTACAATCTGCGGATACTGACTTGATGTAAAAATCGAAGCCGCTGTTGCCAGAGTTGAAAGTTTATTCACAAAACTACTTTGGTCGTTCTCACTAAAAAATGAAGTCCCACAGAACCAAATCTCCGAGGAACGAAAATCCAAGGACAGTTGACTGACAACTGGCAGGCCTGGGGAGTGCCAAAAGTGAGAAATGTAGTTCACGTTTTCATTAGTGTGTGTCTATCCATGTACGCTATCGTGTCAATAGATCGAGAAGATAACTGGACAGCGGTGGCGTACGATGACTGAGGCAAGCATGGAAAAATGCCAAGCCTATCAAAGACCACGGATGAATCCACGTACATTCTACACAGGAAAACCGAACTGGCACCTAAAATCTGGGCTTTGTCGCCAATGCACGAACAACTTTCAAATTTGTAATGTCATTTGCTTTTATGCGCCTTTGCTACAGAGACAATTTGCGAGCAGCAACAATGTCAGTGCTTGGATCGGCTCTACAGCCAATGCTTACGGATGTGGAGTTGAAGTGGGATGTCAAGGTGGATGGAAAGGCTCCAGAGATTCTTATTGTGCCCACCCGGCTACCGCCTCTCTTCTCGGGTGTTTTTATGACAGCGTTTGGTCTCTTCCAAGCAGGTGAGCATCCTGGCTAACAAAGAAGGGAGCTGTGGGTAAAGGAGGCGATTGCCGATTTACAGGGGGTATTTTGTGTCTTGACGCTTGTGCAATTAATTCTCGAAGACCTTTATTCTTTTCCATGAGAGCGGACAAGCTATGGATTGAGTACTTAGAGGTTTTCTGCCACATCGTGTCGTTCAAACGTAGCGGCATAGAGCTCGAGAAATTGAGGTGGATGTACCAAGCGTTGGTGCATTAGCTCATTTGCACAAAAGTAAACCGAAATGGATGGAATCAAAGTGGCAATGAATATTATCTACTAAAAATGAGATGGAGAACACTGAATATGGGACTCAGTGCCTGCATATTTATAGTAGTGGTCGTGACTCTGCAAAATGGCATCGCATCTTTTGCACTGGATGGAAGCGTAGTCCTGTCTTCATAGGCAGTGTGCGTGTACCTACCTTGAATTCTTGCCCATTTTCAAATGGATAATTAAACGATTGCCATCACCGTATTGGTACTCTTGTTGGCGAGACACCTCTTTCATGGTTATACTTTGGCTTAAGCACACAGCAACGCTGTCACACATCTTCTTGGGAAACGAAGTTTCCACTGAGCCTTGATGTTTGTGTTTACTAGTACGCACCTGCTGCTTCCTGCTGTGTGTAGTACCTCCTCATTACGTGATTAACTCCGATTTTGTTTGATCTCATTGTCTTGGTTAGACGACTCCAAGTCCCCTCGCATAGAAGGCACCCTGAAGCTGAGCTACAAGCTGAACGATACAGTTCACTCACAGGAGACCGCAGTTCAAATTCTGCCCGTGGAACAGGAGAACCTGGGTCTGCACAGACTCGCTGCAAAGGCACAACTCCTGGAGCTGGTGGATAAGCACTCTGCCCTCCATGCAAATGACGGTGATAAGGTGGATGAGAGTGCAAAATCCGAGATTCGTCAGCAAATTGTCGACATTTCAACTAACACTAACGTGATTTCACCCTTCACCTCTTTCGTTGGTGTCGACCCAGACAAAATAGGTATGGAGGCTTTTGATCACGAAACAGCATTAAACCTTCTGCAGCGCAGAAGGCAGCTCTGAACACTTACCAGCACCTACAGAATTGCAATTTACTGTACACTTTTTTTTACTTTTTAGAAAATTTCGTGAAAGCTCCACGTAAGTTTTTGCCCCATTTCTAATGTGAAGTTAGTGTATCGACAGAGCTTTAACACTACGTATTTGGTATTGTAGCCAGACCACCCATCGCAGTGGCATGTAAGTGATGAGTTCCATACTCTCCTTTCGTATAAGAAATTTTCCGTTCTATTCTCCCATATTTAATGTGATTGCTTTTTTGACATCATTTAGACGCCATGCACAGTGCAAGTAAGTTTCCAGTTTTATGACAAAACTTACAACCTTTGATTGACCCTTGATCTATTTCTATCGACTATTTAGATTTATGCTTTAGCAAGGGTAAGTAATTTGTTTTGAATACTACTTGAATTTTTTCAAGAAGGCCGTCAGTCTACACCTTCACCGCAAAAATATTTACGACGAGAAGATTAAGAGTATGGTCTAATCAGCAAGGACCAAACAGTCATCTAGTTCTTTGTGGGGAACAGTTTGATGCTATTTGCTTCGTTTCGACCTTCCTAAGGCACAGAAACCAAATAGACTTTTGAAAAAAGTGCGGATTCTAAAAAACGCGAACGATTATCTACTTTTTAGGTTTATCTATAAAACTGGTGGAGCCAAGATTTTTCTAAGTGATGAGTTTTCATGCTGTTTTAAATACATTTTTTGACAATTTATTCTGCCAGCCGATGGTTTCAGTGGAGCGTACCATATTCCCATTCAAATGGGCTCTAGCGGCCTTCTGTCCGCGTTCATTAACTAGAACAAAATTAAGTGCAATGTTATCAGAACTGCTTTTTAGTAATGTGAAGAATGCGGCAAAATTTCTTCTGTGGTTTTAAAGATTGACTTAATTTATGTAATCACACTGCTCTCTCTCTCTCTGATGATTCGGCTACTGGTTGACTTTGAAATCTGGTTGGTTTCGTATTTAACAGTTCACTCAGCGTCGGTTTATCTCTACGGAGAATTTTTTTCTATGGTATACGACATCCTACTCTTTATTTTAGCATTCTAAATTGGAAAGTGTTTGAGCTTGAAGTAACTCGAGACCTAATTATCCTTTCAAAATGTTGTCCAATGCTTCCCAAATTAACTTCTTTTGTACCTTTCCTACTCTTCTCTGAAGCCGCGATAATTAAAATATCATGAAAGAAAGTGTGGATGACTGGTAGCATGCCCCAAAGTGACTGACGTATCCACGTAGTTATGTAGCGCCTCGGTTCCTCTCCAGATTTGTAAAGCTCAGGAGGCTACTGACATAACCGCCGAGCAGAAGCAGATAATCAAAGCGTTTCAGTTAAACAAAATATTGGCTAAAAATAACTTGCGGTCCGGCATTTCCATACGCTAGATTTCCTGCCATAAACGGACTTAATTGTAGTCGATGTATATGCTGTTAACAGATCCAGAGTTGATGGATATTTACGCTAAAAACTGCTTCAATTGCATTAAGTTTAAATTCTTATTTTATTATTCACTTGGCTATAATTTCACTTGTTCCCTGTACTTTTAGTCGCTGCTCCCTGTGCAAATAGTAAGTGGGGTTCTACAATTGACTGCCATGAAGTTATTCTCACCCGAGTAGATTCTCATGTGTAACTCATTTTTATTGTAGGTTTACCTGCGGGTACGTGCCTCCTTTTACCAAATGTACACTTTTTCAGGATTTTTTTTCGGACTCTTTAGTAAACATTAGTATGGCTATGCGCCTGTTCTTATATAGTTGATGGTACCGCACTAATTTGACCTCTCTTTGGAAGAAGATTGCGTTTGGCTGATCGGTAGAATGTTTGTTTTCATCCTTACGAACACGCTCTGCTTTTAAGCATTTATGTAATCTACAAAATTCTTGTGTGTACAATCCTATTTCTTGGTGTTTTTTAACTTATGAAGCTAAATGACTCAGTGGTGTACCTTCCAAACGCTACCTTGAAGCCACAATAAGCCGAAGTAGCATGAAAGAACATATATTACTAGCTTGAGGAATGGTTGTAAGGCTGGTGCCGTGGCTCGAAGTAAGTGAGGGAACCGCGTGGTCGTATAGTACCTCAGTGTCCGTTTCCCCCCATAAAAATTGTGGACGCCAGGAGGCAACTGACTTGATTTGAAGTCCTGGCCACCAAGCAAAGGCATAATCTGCTGCGGCTCAAGAGTCCGTATAGATAAATGCGGAGTAAAATTGACTATCGAAGAGGTACAGTTGAAGGTAATATAAAAGCTGCTACAATCTGTACATGTGACATTCCCATCCTCTAAACATCCTGCACCAAACTGTCATGACTGATGTCTACTAATGTGACTCAAATGTGGAAAAAACTGATTTAATTGCGTTGAATTCAAATTAATCACTTAACCAGTCATTGCCAAACTCGTTTACTTCTTGCATTCTCCTTGTAATTTTTGCCGCTGCTCGATGTCAAGCTTATAAGTAAAGTGATGCTGCCAATCCCAACTTTCCATCTAACATTTTAGGTGCACCCGCTGGTCATTGTGAGTATTGCACTTCATTATTTTCTTTTTCTCTTTAAAAGACTTCAATTTTGCTTATGTTTCTTAAAATTGGTGGTAAATTTAAAACCTTCTTTTGTGTTGTGTTATGCTACAAAAAACCAACGACAACAAGTAGATCGAGCGGTGGTCAAGTTTTCAATGCAGAACAGTTGCATACCATTTGTTTTGTTTAATTTATCTTGCGCCATGGAAAACAAGTGGTCTTATTGGCGAAATTTGTATTTTAGGCTTCGGTGCAGGTATGCGTCTTTGCGTCCCCATTTCCTTACTGATTCCCGAAATGCTTACCGACTTTTTACTTGCATTTGTATTAAGTTTACACGATTTCTTAATTCTGTGCGACTCTTGATATTATTGGGCTAAATTACTTTTCATCATAAATTTGTTTTTTGGTTTTTAAAAATGATTCAGGAGGTGGAGCTCCTCCTTCTCCTTCTAGTCGATGCTCATGCGTGATTTATAAATCCTTGTAGCTTCACCCTTGAGTTTTGGTCAGCACCGTCTTAACATTTTTTAAATCATGTCTTTTGCCTGTCCAAACAAATTTAACAAGAATTCTATTTACGGACTTTAATTAAAACAAACGGACGTGTAGTACTGCATGAAAGGCAATTCTTAAAAATGGGAAGAATGCGGTAGGTGTTGGTGTGTTTCCAGAAAGCGTTTCGGTTTATGCGGCTACTTTGCACTCCTTGGTGATCCTGAGTCTGGGTGACTTTTAAATCTATTTGATCTCCGAGTTATCAATATCCGCTGTGTTCGCCAACCGCTCTGTAGTATTTCTCTCTCTAAAGCGTGCTATTTTCTTGGGTTTTAACATGGTGCTTCTACTAGAAATCGAGGCTATGCGTATGTATATATAAGGTGATGTACGATCAAACAAATCCGTTTGAGTTTTGTCAAATGCCTCCCAAATTAAGTACTTGCGCAATTCCTCCCGCCCCCGTCCTAGTCTTCTCTACACAGTCATGCTAAGCCAAAGCAGTATAGAAGTATGCATATTAACAACACTGAGAATGGTTGGGTGGCAGATGACATGGCCTGAAGTGATTGAAGTAGCCCCAGATGGGTGTGTAGCGCCTCGGTGTCCTCCCCGGGAGTTGTGAGGGCCAGGTGGCTACTGAAATGGCCGGAAGACCAAGCCGCCATGGTGACGTATAGTCTACCACGGTTAATGTGCCCAGACCTTCAAACGCAGCTAGAGGAACTGCCAAAGTATTGTGGTTAATCAGAATATCAAACCGCTACAACTCTCGTACACTTGACGTTCCCATCTGATTGGTATCCTGCAGTAAACTGTCCTAATTGAGGCCTAGTAATAGGCCTACAGGAAATCTAAACTTGTTTGAAATTTTGTTACAAAAACTGATTGAATTGTGTCAATTTTCAAATCCTTCATTGAACCAATCATTTGCTTACTGCTTTACTTTTTAATTTTTCTCTATACTTTAAGCCGCTGTAACCTGCGAATTTGGTGAGTGGAGTGTAGTTATTTGCCACTGTGACTTCATTTTCACTCATATTTATTCCAAAACATTAATCTACATTGTAAAATCATGCGTGGCTACGTATTCCTATTTTAATGCGTAAACTTTGTGTTTGTGCCATTTTATCTCCCATTCCTTATTATCAGTACTATAGCTACTCGCTTGTCATTAAGTATTCCCTACCACCGCAGTTTGTTGATCTCCCAATTAGAAAAGAGGGATTGCGACTAACCCCCTTCTGAAATGCCTGTTTTCAGGGCTCTGAAAATTGCCGATTCTGAATAATTATCAAACCTAAGCGATTCCACTGCCTAAAGTCGCTTTATTGCTTTCTAAAAGATAACTGTGTTACAGCCTTGTAGTGCGTCCTTTTTTGCTGCCGCCCAAATCTCTGTTTTACTGCAGAAATTAAATGCTGCTGTCGTTTTTTTCTAAGTGGAGAAAAGGAGCTTCTCGTGCAGCGATGCCCTCCACGTCCTACTGAAATGCACCCTAAAATGTGTCTTTTGCAACAATTTTGTGTATTCGCCTTGACATTGTACGAAGTTTGGCTTTTACTCTTGAATATTTAGTAAGGTTTTAGAGTCGCGAGATGGCTTTAATCAGAATTTCATGCCATTACTGACTTAGTGTCCGTTTACATGAGGAAATGTTTAAAACTTCCATTAGGACTGATGGAAGTTGAAGAATGAAGGTGGCGAGCATGTGGCCACTTAAAGCCAGATACTGAAAAAGTTCATCGTGAGAAGAAAACTACTTAAGAAAGCCATGCATTGGTTGCACAAAAGGTAGGTGATGCTGCATCATGCCTTGGGAGCGCCAGGAGCACCGATTCCTTTCTGTTTGTATTTTTGCCAATGAGGTTTGCCTTGCCATGCATTCCACCGCAACCAGTATCGTTTCATCACCGTTTCGAATGATTCCGCATCTCATTGGCTTTGGTCTGTGATGCTGTGCCAGATACAGCATTGCCATTGTTCCAGTTATCACAACCTGCACGTTTTTGTAGATTCTGCAACTCCTGATTAGACCTATTTTAGCTTCTTACTCTCGAAGTGTAGGATAAGGTCATTTTTAATACCGTTTAAGGATTAAACAATCATTCTTTCATTTATCATTCTAGATGGTGCCAAGATGGCTCATTTTCGAGGTAAAGCTCACCTCGTGTTATGTGATATGCATTTCCTTTGCCTTCTTGACCGTGGCATCTACAATTTTATGGGCAAATTATATTGTTGTGTATGCATTTTTAAATTGCAGCTGGGGGCCCACCAGGTAAGCTTCCTATCACGAGTGACGTTTTGCACTTCACTCTGTATGTGAAACAGGCAGGACTTTTCGAGGTTTAGGTAGCCCCCCAAGCTTCCTCAAGAATGTTAGGAAAATAAAGTCGAAAGCAACGGGTTCTGGTATGTCACCGTTCATTTCACATATCCTCTTTAATCATTTAAAGAACCAGATAAAAGCTGGAGAAAAATCTATTCTTAAGGACCCCGTGCCAAAAATTTAAACATGCTTTGACTCTCACTACTTTTCCCACAATCCCGCACTTTGACATGTGAATCGAATTTTAGAGCCTACACCTTCTGCACCTACTGACGCTGTTGTGTTTGCTGTGGAGCTTCAAGATTTTGATGGATTCTGGCCCCTGAACGAGGATCTGGCCAAACTCTTCAGGTCAACTCTTTCTCAGTTAACGTCTTCAAAGCCTTCTAATGGTTAGTTTAATGCTATACTCTGCTTGGCATTATTCAGAATGAAAGAGTCTCACCTAGGTTAGATTGTCAACATAAACTTTTAATGTGAGGATAAGGGAAAATATGGCTCACCTGTAGCTTAGGTGCAAGTGTCCCGACTTTTTTTCCTGTTTTTTGCAGTGGAAAACACAAAGATGTGGGCCACGGCACTTGTTGTTGCCTACCTGCGAACGCACATGGACTCGCGGCAGGAGGAGTGGGAGATGGTGGTGCAGAAGGCCATGGATTGGTTGAAGGAGAATTGCCCTAACCCACAATCGCTCGTTGAGAAGGCAAAAACAGCACTAGCGCAACTTCTACCAAAAGCATGATGTGCAATTCCCTTCGTAGAGCTTTGCTTCACATATCTATTACCGAAACAGATTTCTGGAATTCTTACTTCATGAAATAAATATCGAAATCAATCTTTTGACGCATAATGACTGCCTGAGAGGGTAGTTTTATTACCAATGCGCTACTGCATAACTGCGTGTAAGTGAGCAGGGGTTTGGCTTCTTTTTATAGTGATGGTATATAATGCTAACAAATTGATTTAATTATCTATTTAACTCCTCATGCTATGACTTTGTGCTTTTCTGGATGATACGTTTACAGGGCCATACCAGTACTCCCACCCCTCTAGCGTCTCGAGATTGCCCTGGAGACGAAGAATACTTATTGCCTTGGTAACTTGCATGTACTTGCCGTACAGTGTAGAGCGTGGCCTAACTGGCACGAACCGGGGTAAGCCCACTCCGACGAAGGATCTTCGTCTAAACTGGGAATTAAGCAACCAGTACATTACACTTCCTTCTCCTTCTCTGAGTTCATAGCACATATTCCGCCATAGAAATTTGGCCTCCTTTTTTGCGGCAGTTTTAGGGCGCAGCAGCGCCACCATAAGTCTTTTCAGAAAATTGCTAAATTTTATAAAACAGCAATGTATTGGGTGAATTGTGCCATAAAATGCCAAATTCTAAAGCAAAACGCAACAGCTACATATTCTTTAATTAACTCAAAATGTGTGAAACTAGCACTTTTTTACAGGGGAAAAAGTGGTTTAATTTACCCTAATTTGCACAAATTTGTTTCAATGGCCGCAAGGCCATCTCAAACGCCACGGTTACTCATAGAGATCACTTTTGATTTCTGAGGCTAGAGTGTGTATATTTCCTGTTCACCCACGAACAAAATGCAGATTTTCGTAAAAACCCTTACTGGAAAAACTATAACACTTGAGGTTGAGCCAAGTGATTCCATCGAGAACGTGAAAGCGAAAATTCAGGATAAAGAAGGTATACCGCCAGATCAGCAACGGCTTATCTTCGCTGGTAAGCAATTAGAGGATGGGCGAACCCTATCCGACTACAATATTCAAAAGGAGTCGACACTTCACCTTGTTCTAAGACTACGAGGAGGTATGAAACACTGAGGCTGTATTTGCTGCGAGCTTATCCATAATCGTCGAACTGGTTTTATTTATGCTATTTTATTGCCGATAATCTCCGCATGTAAACACCTTACTTTACTCTTGTCTTATAAGAATCCAATAAAGGCCCCATTTCATTTCGCAATATTCTCCTCCCGGCCTCATTTCTTGCTTGCTTTGCAGCAGGTAATCAAACAGTAACCCGCTAGCGTGGACCCCTTTAAAGTAAGCAAAGTCCTGGGTTAAGTCGGTGCCCACCACGTAAAGATTGAAACTAATTTTTCGGTGTGGCGACATCACACCGCACGTTCTAGTAGAGTTGACCATCCTACCCCCATAGACACATTGCACCTTGGTTTTGAGATTAAACGCATTTTTTTTCTTTAACTTTAAAATGTTAGGGTAAGTTTCGAGCTATTTATCGCCAACACGAACGCATTACTATACCGATTATAAGGCACCGTTTGGTCTGCGAAAACAAGAATAACTAAAGACATTTTTCTCTCTAAATCACTCTGATTGACAACGGCTAAGCAAATGTAGTCGGACAAATATAAGGGTCTGCTAAAAAACCGGTAGCGTTGTAATAAATATCGTAAAAACAGTGGCTTTGGTGAACGAAGAAGCGAGTTTGAAATAGCCTACAAAAGAAAAAGAAGAGAGGTTGACGATTAATTGCTGTGATATTTATCGATGCACACAACAAATAAGAAACGCATGCGAACAAGTGAGGTCATAGAATGACGACAAACGCCAAGCAAAACGCGTTCCTATGCACCTTTGTTAAAAAGGCAAGGAAACGAATTGCATTAATAATAAAAACAACCGAATGCTAATGAAAAACTATGACCAGTGAAGCTACGGCGTGTCAACGCCTTGGAACAGAAAATATTACTTCAAATTTCGCAAATGAGTTTTGGAGCAAAGAAGACGTTCCAGTGTGAGTTAAAAATGAGAGAATGCAAATAGGGCACGAGAAAAAGGTTACCTTCAGCTAAGCCAGCGTTTATTACTCACATCTGTAAATAATGATAGATACCGGAATGAATTTCTTCAAAAAAATACTCCAATGCAGCAGGAAATGGAATTCTTGGAGGTAAATATATAGTAGATCGATTAATGTGTAAAAGTACACCAAAACGCACCGTCAGCGTCCTTCGTTGTCGTCCAAGGTGAATTTCCTAAAGTGACAATGACATCACGAAATAAAACTTGATATGTGTCAGGCATTGCAATAATAGGAGGGTGATAGAGTTAACCATCACGGTAGAAGAATAAGCCATCGTTGGCTTAAAATAAAACACATTCTCCCAAAAAAGTTGAAAGGAATCGCGCTGGTGATGTTTAGCTGACAGCATATTTACCCTCACGTCAGAAAACGATAGGTATTAGTGAGTCAAACTGGAGTAGTGAAGTCGAACAATTGGTAATTATGGTAGTAAATGCCCACGAATTCACCTTTTTTGCTATTTCTACTTCTTTAATATTTAGACTTTCACATCATATGACCCCTAAAAGCAATTCCCGACAATCAAATGGTGCGATATTTAGCTACAAACCATGGTTTTATTTGGAAACCATACTACCTCGTGCACTTCTACAAGGCTTAACTTCAACCACTATACGCGTTCACATGGAGAGGACTTGGGAATCCTGACTTTGGCCAATAAAACTAATCAACCTGTGGCTTCAGTAACTACAGCACCGCATTGTTCATCAGTGGGTGAAGTCGGATCTTGAAGGAAATGAAGTTACTTAAAGAGAAATGAAGGGTGGTGATGACGGCACACAGTGGCTTTACTGCACCGTCTAAAGAGAAGCAATGCATGGACGAAGTCTACATAGTTAAGCAGCATTATCCATCTCCTTCTAGTAATGATACCGTACAATACCACTGACCATCGTCAAAAGACGCTAGCATTATAAAAGGGATATATCGTTAACCATATTTACCAGAATTATGGGCAACGTAATTACCCGCACTATCTACAGCAGGTTATGATTGGTCGATTGAGTAAACATACAAAAATTGCAAAGAACTAGGGAAAATATATTTCGATTTGATGGTAAATTTGAAGGAAGGGGCCACTCATTGGTTAATAAAGAACCTATTCCTGATGCAAAATACCAGTCTCCAATAATCCCCCACCCGCTCACAACATCAACGTGACAGTAAATTAATCAGGAGATTTTGATTACTTAATGTAAAGCCAATCACCGAAACACACCTTCTTCTCTCAAATTCCGGGCCGCAGAAGCACTGATTGATCCATCTAAAGCAGTGAAATAAAAAATCAGTATCCACCGTTCATTAACAGGGCAGGGTTAGGCAATATCTTGTCTCACCTGTTGGACCACCGCCCGCAAAGCTTCTGTCGTATCGGGCTAGAGAAAACATAGCAAGTCCATTCCATGATGTGAAACACCAATTACCCTAACCTCCAACTACTGCTCGATTGTGTGAGGGCAAGAAATTATTTGCCGTGATTTAATCCACTGCTACTTATTTGAGGCATAAGTATGTACCACAGTTTCGTTCACTTGACATTCAAGGCAAATAATTCGTTAACACGAGTCGCTGATGGATCAGAAACCAGTCCATCAAATTAGACTTACTTGGTCGTGAGTTAGAGGCCTTAACAGAAGGGTCGTACTTGCCTAGAAGAGCAAAATCAGAAAAAATGTGCCATCTTTAACGCCGATGTAAATTGCTAACATCCATCCTATATAGGTTAAGCAAAGGTAATATATGGTTTGCCAGTACTCAAACTACCATTCATACCCACCCCAATCTCTGGAGCATTCCGAGCTACCATCCGTGGTGCCACGGGCTAAAAAATGAAACAAATTAGGGGCAGTAATGCTTCAGTATAGCTTAGCTTCCAACAATCTATCGATGTTCTCCGGTTGATTTCATTCATAAATAGGAGCGAAATCGCACAGGCTTTGCGCACGAATTACCACTCAGCGGACGGAGAACAATCACTTGCTCATGCGGATTGCAAATTTCAAACGGTCGCGCCAAAACTACCGAATACATTATTGTGTATTAATAAGTTTGGCGTTAACTGCATTAAGCACCGCTAACTGACTTTACCGTAGATTCCTCGAAAGCGAATTTGTAGATTCTTTTTAAAGAGAGTGCAAAATGCCACCTACTTTGAGCATAGATTTTATGCATGGTCCGTGATAATGCATTGGTCGTTTGCTGATGGGAATGGAAAAAAAACCGAATCAGTAATGCGCAACTTGTGTTAAATAGACTAGTCTTTAAAGATTAGTAGTTGTTTACCTCCAACTTGTCCATAGCGTGCTTTTCCACATCATCACACGCCTTCCGTACACTTGCAGCAATGCTTTCAAGTCTGCAGGTTAAAGGACATCTTAGTAGTAAACAAATGCTAAGGAATCTAAGTGCTGCAACATTGACTGCTTTGTTAGATATGGTGGGACAAATATAGAGCCCTGAACTTTGAAGCCTACTATACCACCCCTTAAAGATATCATATAACTAGTCATTCTGTCAAAATCAGCTTTTATAAGTTGCCATTAAGATGGCACACTCTCGCTAATTTGTGCACCTATTGATTGCGTAACACTTCTAAATGCAAATGAAAATGGAGAACAATATGACATTGTGAGCATTAATCGCAAAAAACATCACATCATCACTCACCCCTCCGTATTCTTGGTTTCATAGAGTCGATTTATGTGGGAATCAATTGAAAGGATTTTGAAGCTGATGGGCCGGATAAACCTTGCATTGACATGATCAGTGCGAGGGCGAATTTGAAACATTTTTTGACGAAGAGAAGAGTAGTCGTGTGCTTCAATGAGAAAGAACAGTTCTACGCCATCTATGGACATGGCCCTATAGTCATCGAAGCTAAACTTTCTTTCGGGATCAATACGACTTCTGCATTTGTACACACCAATAGCACGCTAAATGCAAGGTTTATTACTTAAGAAGGGGATATGGCGGACATACAATTCCCGACCCCGAGTTATAGTCCCGCATCGCGTTCACTTTCAGTTGGTATGGAAGAGCGGACACGATTTCTTGCATTAAAAAATAGCCGTAATACAATTCATAGAGTTACCAAGACATCGGGGTTCATTTTCCGCTTTTTGACCCAATAGTAGGCCTTTCTAAGAGCAATAAACAGATTGAGTACTTAAAAAGAATGCTATATTACCTTGTAAAATGAGTCAGAAAAGGCGGCACTGGACAGAAACCCAAGTGTGACACCAGAAATAAGTATGCTGTCGAAGTCTCCCAGCGACATCTGAGTAGTCGGGCAAAAAATTGAAGAAAAGAAATTAGGGGAATAATATCCTTCTAGAAAAAGTAGATCACCATGACCACTCATTCAAGCATGTGGTAAGTATATCCTACTGAGGGTTTATCCATGGTATCAAAGCTGTAGTGTTTCAATCCCACTAAGATGTGATAGAACAAAACGGGACCCTATTTCTAGTTCAATCTCATTAACACATCAGTAAGTAATAATTGTGGTATTATGCTACTCCAGTAAGATTCAAAATAACAGATGTGGGACCGGTCACGAAACCCTATGAAAACTACTTATATGAATTTTAAAGGACTATTGTTCCTTTATTTATGCGGCCAACAGTTTAAGTAGCCCAATGATGTTAAATTGACGAAACTAGCGACACAGGAAACTTACTGCCAACCCCTAATGTGTCAAGGTCTTTTCAACTAACCGAAATTTGTTCCTATTCATTTAAATACGTCCCACATTTTCGAGTGGTTAGTATTTGTTGGGTCATGTTGACTCACTTTACTTAAATTTTGTTTAACTTAAAATTTTCCTTTGCTGCCATCGGATTCATTTTCGTACGTTACTTCTAATAAATCTTCCTCAAAATTCGTGTTTTTGCCTCATCTGACAGCTATTATTGTAGCGTCCCGAGACTCCCTTAAGACGAAAGAAGACGCAATACTCGGGCAGAATATATATATTCAGCACGGAGAAGGTGTCCGGACTATTGGCAAAGCCCAAAAGGCCAGCCCACCCAGCGAGGTACAAGGGGGCTAATTCGAAGTACAAAAGTGGCGCCTCACCGGAACCGAGGGATAAACCACCATCGTATTACATAGCCTCCCTCCTCTTTTGAGCGTCGTCCCCGGCGCTCCCACAGGTCAACCTCCCGCGTCAGCCATTACAACATAGTCGGTGCAGTAAAGAAACCCCCACGAGCCGACCGTGCCAGTCACCAAATTAGCGCGCAACTGAGGGGATACTTGACCTCAACGTCACTGATACCTCTTGGCAGCTTGACTGGATCTGGGGTTTCATCCGGTTTAGGGATTTCATTCAGGACGGGGGAACTGCGTCGGCCATTATGCGTGTCCATAGATAGGTGCAGGAACACTGGCCTAAAAGCAGATTTGAATAAGGGAATACAAGATTTAAAACAGGTCCATGGGGGATGGTAGGGGAAATCCGTAACGAAACTTCCAGGTGTTTCACGGCTAGTGTCGCTTCAGTTGTTAATAGCTTTTCTGCAGAACACGGGACTGGGAGAGATGCCGAAGGTAGACGTCAACACCAACCCTTCTGTTAGGAGTCATCACCATTCTCCCATCCGTAGCATATGCACTTCTTCCGCTCCACCAAGGCTTATCACGCAGAAGTGGAAAATCAGGATTCATGTCCTCTAAGATAGGGTTCGCTTTCCGCTGCCACCAATGTAGCGTCCCGAGACTCCCTTAAGACGAAAGAAGACACAATACTCGGGCAGAATATATATATATATATATTCAGCACGGAGAAGGTGTCCGGGCCATTGGCATGGCCTAAAAGGCCAGCCCACCCAGCGAGGTACAATGGGGCTAATTCGAAGTACAAAAGTGGCGCCTCACCGGAACCGAGGGATAAACCACCATCGTATTACAATTATACCTCGGAATTTCGGTTAAAATAAACTTTTTTGTAGTAGATTGCTAAACTATGGGCAAAATACTTCTTGCAATGCATAAGCCGTTGCAAGAATATACACCTCCAGGCCGCAAATATGGCTTGTTCTAAGGACGAATGTAATTTTTTTGCTTGCCTGAGACTGTTGCTCCCCATGGCTTTTCTAAAGGAAAAAGAATACAGTACCCGGGCAGAATACATATATTCAGCGTACAGAACTAGGGCTACTGGCATGGCCCGAAGGCCAGTCCACCCCTCTTGGTACAGTGGTCAAGCCTAAAGTCACTCTTCACCAAAACCTAGGGTTAAACATTCATCGTGTTACAAGACCATTAAGTATTTAGGATGTTTTAAACATAACGGGGATGAATCTTGCAGAGCTTTTACAAGTGCTCACAATTTAGTGGTTTGAATACGTATTTTCTGCCCTCATTGAAAAAGAGTAGCGGACCGAGCCAGCTGGATAACAGTCCAGTTTAGCCAAGGAGTTGCTCATCTATTATGATTATGAAACTTCGAGATGCGGGTACAAATTCTTTTACTGAGGTGGTAAATTTTGCATTGAAGAAGCATTAGGAGTTTCTAATGGTCATACGCTGTAACAACCGCAACAGACGACCAAATCAAAGATCCTCATATCGAGGCGCTCCGCGTTGTACCCAAAAATCAGGTCCCAAATGGCCTTCATTCATTTCCGCAGGCGATCTTGAGGCTTTTCCAACCCTGTAGCGAACGATCGAGTTCGTCTCACTATCCAGAAGATTATGTTTAGCTGAAAAAGGGATGTTATACACCTCGAGTAAAGGGTACCGGTGGCCTGTGATTACCCCAGACTTGCTTAATTTTTATCAACTTGCGTTACCTGCTGCAGCTTTAAAAGACCTTACCTCACAATGATCACACCTCTCCAATCCATGTCCATGACGTTCCCAGGGGAAGGGTAGGTATTGACCTCATAGATACTCCTGTACCCAATAAAAGGGAGAGCCGATATGTTTGCGAAGGTGGTCAAGGCACAAGACACCGAAATGTTCGCTTCTGCTTTTTCAATTGCCTATTTTTTTCAAAACGGCCTGAAATGGTGCACGGCGACCAAGGAGCTAATTTCGAAAGGCTGTTGTTTACTGACCTATGCC